GGGTGTAAGATTTTAACTTGGTCAATCTGGGTGGGTGGGATGAGGCTTAGGATGTTAACTTGATCCGCTTTTCTTATTTAGCCTTGTAAAGCCCCTCGTTGCACCATAAAACTGAGGTAAAGTGGGAAGGCGAGGAAAATAAAAAGAGACCCGATTTCAATAAGGGAACTGAGAAAAGTCAAGAGCAAATATCATCTCACTATTTGTGTTGCTGGACGCAGAACTGTGCTTGGAGCTTTTCCTTCTTCTCTTCAGGGCGCTCTTCAGACCTGAAGCCAAAACACAGTTATCAAATTTCTAACTTTATTTCTAACACGGAACTGAATGTCCTTTAGATCTTAGCTTTAGTGTGTGACCTTTCTTTTTGCCGGTCTCATCGTACAGGTCTGGCACTTGAATATCGCTCTTGTACGACTTCTTCTGGCTGATGGGGGAACCTGAATGCACAGCACTGTTTAAAATTATTCCTTCCACGCGTGATTCTACATAACAGCCAAATGGAGAAGAATGGTTTTTTCACACGATAGCTCCAATTCGAAGTCGCGCCAACAGCTTATCTCTTCTTCTAACCTATTAACTGAAAAAGACTCCCATTTTGATTGTGATTTTCAGTCTTTTGGTAGTCTGCAACCTATTGTAATACGAACCATAATGAAATACTGTACGGTAGTTTGGTCCATAAAAAGATTTCAAAAAGGTCAGAGGAGGCGGAGGCAGAAGGGATTAAAAACAACATAGTAAGAGTTCATTTAACGATCAAATGAGCTCCAATTGTGTTACCCCATTTTAGAGTGGCCTCCTTGCTCTTCTTTGTTTTTACGTCCAAATGTGACCCCTTCCCCTTGCCCTTCCCGCCTCCTCCTTTTTTGGGGGCAGCCGCCTTCGCATTCTTCTTGGACGCTCCCCCTCCCCCTGCAGCCGCCGCCTTGCGGCCCCCCACACTCTTCTTACCTGGCTTAGTTCCTCCTTTTCCAACTTGTCCCACCATTGCAAGCGCAAATATAGTTCTCAGAGAAAAAAGAAGAAAAAATTGCAGATATCGCTTCAAACGAAAATTTTTTGAAAATGATTATTGAACACGTGCCTTTCAGCCAAAAGCTAGTGTCCGTTTTCAATAGCATGAACCTGGACTCTACCTCTGCCCCATCCTTCAATTTGCACTAACACCGGCGGCCTTTTTTACATTCGCCCACCCCGAATTAGCATCAATGTTATGGTTTAACGAGGGGTTTTACAAGGTTTACGAATGAAAGGAAAAAAGCCCTAACAACAACTTGATGGAGTAGAAATAATCTTGAATCATTGATTTCTAAGGTTGTAGATGAAAACTAAATGTTTCAGAAGTTACGCAATGCCCAGCATGCAACATGTCAAAGCAGTCGAGAATTGCTCACGAAAGTTTAATCTATGGCTCATAAAATTTGGCTGGTTGGTGAAGAGAGGAACGATTGAAAAAGTGGACAAAAATAAGTGTGGATTGGAGTACATTTTCAATAGTGCCAAACTAGGTCAAAATAAGTTTTGCCACTATGGAGTTCAGGAAATAGAGCAATGGAAATTCAGGAAATTATTCCCTTTTCCCCATTTCGATATTCTAAAAATGTTTTATCACTGCCATAATACAACGAAACTTTGTGGAAAAAAAACTTAGGAAAAAATTTTTAAAAAAACTAACAGTTGTGAGTAGATTAGATCTTCATAAAATAACGCAATAAAGCATAATAACAACTAAAAACAATAAGAAAAAATTAAATTGTGGGGAAAAGGGCATTTTTTCTTCGCACCCCCTCCGCCACCTAGAACGATCATCAATTTCATGGTGTAATGAGTGGGTTTACAAGTTTAAATACGAAGTCTAAAAATGTTTGTCACAGCGTAATTAGTCCGCGTGTCAGTTTTCATAACAATCGGAAAATGTGAAAAAAGTTTAAGTTTTAAAAATTGGCATGTGGGTGGGGGGAGTAAGAAGGAGAAAGAGCAGAATTTTGCTGAATACTATTTCCTAAATGATCCCTAATATATTTTTAGCCAGTAACCTTACCTAAAACGTGTCAGCCATGTCATTTACAAGGCAGAGGTGCGGTAAACTTGAACTTCGCATTTTTGGGCCAGAAAGTCAACTCCTACTTCGAGTCTGAAAATATGCATTTCAAACTGACTGTTTTGTCATTGTATTAGGCGTATATTGTACCTTCAAAATTCAAAACTAAAAGTAGTGCATCTTTTAAATACAGACAGCATAACTTTTGCAAGTTTAGGAACAACCAAATTTAAGATTGGATCCCGCATCCGAATGACTCTGAACTGCTTGTTGATACCCGCGAACCAATTTCAAAAAGGGATCTAATTTTTTCTTACCATCGAAAATTGGGAAGAATTTTGTCTTCAAGTGTTTTCGTTTTTTGTTTTCCACAAACAATTTTTCGTTTTTCCACAGTAGTACCACAAAATATCATCGGAAAGGGTCGAGTGATATGTTATTTAAATATTTTAAAATCGCAACTCAAAAGATGTATAAAAGTTTACAAAAAGTTTTCCCAGTGTTTAGAAGAACCGGTTTGAAGTTTTTGAGTTTCGTCTAAATTCGAGCGAGCAAATTGATCCAGTAGGTCTAAGAAAAGAAATATTTTCAATTAAGTTGTGAAAAACTTAGTTTCACTCCCGAAAACTAGTTTTAAAAGCTTCATGTAGCGCTCACTACTTTGGCAAAAAAACTCTGGGATGTTTTTTTTTTCAGTTTTTGGTTTGCTGTTCGCTTTTCGAAGGCAACTGTTGTCGGTGATCATTAAATCACTAACGTTCTACCTGTTCATGTATTTACACAAAACACAAACACACGAAACTTCAGAATTAGAATTAGTTAAGTGCGTTAACTACTTAACTACAATACAACTTTCAAACCCCCATCAATTTTTTTTATGTCAAAGGAGCAAAACAGATTTCACTTGTATCAAATGGAATGTCTAATGTTTTTGGTTTGTTGATGGCTTTTCGTAGGCAACTGTTGTCGGTGATCATTAAATCACTAACGTTCTACGAGTTCATGTATTTACACCAAACACAAACACAAGAAACTTCAGAGTTAGAATTAGTTAAGTGCGTTAACTACTTAACTACAATACAACTCTCAAACCCCCATCATTTTTTTTATGTCAACGGAGCAAAACAGATTTCACTTGTATCAAATGGAATGTCTAATGTCTTTTGTTTGTTGTTCGCTTTTCGTAGGCAACTGTTGTCGGTGATCATTAAATCACTAACGTTCTACGAGTTCATGTATTTATACCAAACACAAACACACGAAACTTCAGAATTAGAATTAGTTAAGTGCGTTAACTACTTAACTACAATACAACTCTCAAACCCCCATCAATTTTTTTTATGTCGACGGAGCAAAACAGATTTCACTTGTATCAAATGGAATGTCTAATGTTTTTGGTTTGTTGTTTGCTTTCCGAAGGCAACTGTTGTCGGTGATCATTAAATCACTAACGTTCTACGAGTTCATGTATTTACACCAAACACAAACTTACGAAACTTCAGAATTAGAATTATTTAAGTGCGTTAACTACTTAACTACAATACAACTCTCAAATCCCCCATCAATTTTTTTTATGTCGACGGAGCAAAACAGATTTCACTTGTATCAAATGGAATGTCTAATTGTTTTGGTTTGTTGTTCGCTTTTCGTAGGCAACTGTTGTCCGTGATCATTAAATCACTAACGTTCTATGAATTCATGTATTCACACCAAACACAAACACACGAAACTTCAGAATTAGAATTAGTTAAGTGCGTTAACTACTTAACTACAATACAACTTTCAAACCCCCATCAATTTTTTTATGTCGACGGAGCAAAACAGATTTCACTTGTATCAAATGGAATGTCTAATGTTTTTGGTTTGTTGTTCGCTTTTCGAAGACAACTGTTGTCGGTGATCATTAAATCACTAACGTTCTACGAGTTCATGTATTTACACCAAACACAAACACACGAAACTTCAGAATTAGAATTAGTTAAGTGCGTTAACTACTTAACTACAATACAACTCTCAAACGCCCATCCATTTTTTTTATGTCGACGGAGCAAAACAGATTTCACTTGTATCAAATGGAATGTCTAATGTTTTTGGTTTGTTGTTCGCTTTTCGAAGGCAACTGTTGTCGGTGACCATAAATCAGTAACGTTCTTCGAGTTCATGTATTTACACCAAACACAAACACACGAACCTTCAGAATTAGAATTAGTTAAGTGCGTTAACTACTTAACTACAATACAACTCTCAAACGCCCATCAATTTTTTTTATGTCGACGGAGCAAAACAGATTTCACTTTTATCAAATGGAATGTCTAATATTTTTGGTTTGTTGTTCGCTTTTCGTAGGCAACTGTTGTCGATGATCATTATTTCACTCACCTTCTACGTGTTCATGTATTTACACCACGCGCATGGGCGGATTTAGGGGGGGGGGGACGCTTCCTCCCTCATGGATGCGACCCCCTGCCGACCCAAAGGGTCCCCCTTTTGGTACTTTTTAAGAAATCCATTTTTGGCCGACCGACCCTAAAATTTTTCTAAAGGCGCTTTTGGCGCCAATATATATTAAATTTGAGGGGGAGCGCGCGCCAAAAAACGCGATTTTTTTGTCAATATTTTCCAAAAAAAAAATTTGCCCGCCGCGCAGAAAATATGACCGAAACAGGGACTATTTAGTGCTTTAGGAGAGCTCGGAAAATCAATTTGGTCGACTTAAAAAAAAGGTCGTCAAAGTTTTTTTTGAAATTTTTTTTTTGAAATTTCCCCCCCCCTAGAGAAAATCCTAGATCCGCCTCTGACCACGCGCAAACACACGAAACTTCAGGATCAGAATTACTTGATTGCTTTAAAACAATACAACTCTCAAACCCCATTGAATTTTTTTTCAATGTTGACGGAGCAAAACCGATTTCACTTTTATACAAATTGAACGTTTAATGTCGCTTTTTTTTTGTTTCAGGAGCTAGTTTGTTCTCAATTCTGACTGTGGTGGTGGTGTGTTTCTACACGAGCATCTTCAAGACCGCCCTGCACCAGAGGACCCTCATTCGCAGATCCATGCCAGTCATCATAGACAGCAATGGCAGACCCACCACAGCTGGATCAGAGCTGGACTCCATTGGACAACAGATCAGGGTGAGGAGCACACATTTCAAAATGTTCATACAGACATTAATATTTTAGACGGACAAACTGATGGACTCTGAAGAAGGTTGGTACCTTTGAGTCATTATTTTGGCGGTAGGAGTGATTTAGAACTGGCCTACCCAAAGTCTTATTTCAACCATGTATAATCCATTAAATTCTAACGCGGAAGCATTTTTTAATGCGTGTGTAGGCATTGGTAGGCTACATCCTGATTGGTTTGTCTACTCTGCTGACATGGGTGCTGCCAATCATATACCTGCTCATAGTGCACATCGTCATTATGAAGTACGACGGACAGATCCCCCCGTCCGACATCAGCACCCTTCTGCTAGTGCTGCAACAGCTGCTGGGGGTGTTTATGTCCCTCAACAGTGCAATCAACCCCATCATCTACTCCTACACTCAGAGACCATTCAAGGACAGCTTCGCCAAGGTGTTCAAGTCATTGGCAGACAAGTGTCGCATGTCCATATATGGCTCCAAGAGTCCCTCCATCACACAGGTTAGTTCACGCCACACATAATTTCTTAATCATTTTTATGTAACCACTTAAGGCTACACTACTCGAGCTTATAACTTTTATAATACTCTAAGCTCAAGTTTATAATGCTACTAAATTTTACTAAAATTAGCTTCAGATTTCTCACCGTAGCTTTTTATTGTTCCGACTTTCGATACGAAAGTAACGGAATATTTGTGCTCGGGGTGGGTTTTTTTCTTCAGACAAATTTCGACTTTTTAACTAGCCATTTTTGACGGAATTTTTTTTACATCAATCGAAAGCTATTAAAAATTTGAAAAGATATTTCACCTGTGATCAATTTTCGAAAAGTTGTGCTCGGGGTGGGTTTTTTTTTCTTCAGACAAATTTCGACTTTTTAACTAGCCATTTTTGACGGAATTTTTTTTATATCATACGAAAACTATTGTTGTCCTGAGCTTAAATTTGAAAAAATATTTCAACTGTGATCAATTTTTGTAAAGCTTTGGGGATTTAAAGATTGCCATTTTGGCCAATTTGGGACAATTAACGCGCGATATATTTCGCGCTATTAACGCGTAAGAGAGATTTAATCCGTTTTAGAAATCGTTCCAAATTGGTTCAAGGAAGATTATGTGCCATAATTGATTTGTTAATAGGAGCAAAATCTATCCCTTTGTACTTGATATGGCAACTTTTTAGAAAAAAATTTTTAATTTTACTTTATTACATTCAAATTTTCCATATTATTACTGCTCCATAGACTTTAAAAGGCAGTCGGAACATTCAGGGCTTCGCCCTGATACGAGCAGTCTTGTTCATTTTGTCCCACAGACATTCTGATGACTAAGAACTGATTTCAAATAAGCAAATATCACATTTGCCGTAAAATGGAATTTAATATTGACAAAAAAACAACCATGTGATTCTTCTTGGGCATCTTCTAGGTTGTGGACGATCCAGGAAGACAGAAGGGAACTACGAATAAGAATGTGACTCGTTCCCCCGCCCCCGCCCAGCTCAATGTTAACCCAGCCAGTGTGGCAAATGTATCCTCCTCTTCCTTTGTCTGAGATCTGCGGACCCAAACGGAACTGAAAACAAGCCAGAAGCCAAACCAAACTATACCCTCGTGCAGTGAAAAAAACTGACCAAGAAACATGCAAAAAATTGCAAACAAAGAAAATTTTAAGTAAGAGTTTGTTATATTGTGAGTCTGGTATATAGAATCAATGTTGCACGATACATACACTCACTGTCAATAATTGTGATTTTAATATAAGTTGTCTATAACCCCTTCTAAGAAAGTTTGTTAAAGTGCGAAAAAAAATCTGTGATAGTTTATTGGTTGTTGTTTGTTTCATATAATATAGAGCAAGTAATAGTTTCTAAGATGTAATTGGCATGTAAATTATCTATGAAACCATGGTTCGAATGTTCAAATTGAAACTGTTTTTTAAAAATAACGTTTTGCTTAGTGCCGTCTAAGTGCTGTGATACTTCGAACAAAAATACTACTTTCATAGCAAAAAGCGCCAAATTTTTGCACTCAGAAAAACATTGTTGAACGCTTCTATAATAGGACTTATTGGGCTAGCACTTCAAATACCACAAATTGAAATTATGCGAGCAGTTTTTTAAGTGATGATAAACGAAGTGAACAATCACTTATGTAGGCCTTGTTTTTTTGCTGTATCAAGAAAAAAGTTTTATATACTTCAACAAGTTTTAAATTCTATATTATTCTTCTGTTTTTTATGAGACACCTGACAAATTTGGGTCAGCCAACACCGGATGACTTTAAATAAAACAAAGGGGGGCACTTTGGGTCGGCAGGGGGTCGAATCCCTGACGAGGGAGACATGTGCACCAAGTAGCCCTCCCCCTCCCCCTCCCAATCCGCTATCGTGTCTCCTTTAGTATTAAAAGTAGACTTAGCGGTTGCGGCTAACTTAAGCGAATAAATTAGAAAATAAATTCAGCTTTGGTTGTAACGGCAGCTATTTGATGCGTATTGCATAGCTTTTCACATTAAAAATTGATAAATGAGGAAAAAAATCCCTCACCTCGCGCCTTGTAAACTGCAGTTTTGGGTCTATTAGCGTGTTAATAAGACCAAATAGCTTGTAAAAACTTTTGAGCCTGATTAAATCTACGCTCACTCGATAAAACAATCGAAAAATTGTTCACTCGTATAAAATCAAAATCTTGAAAAGTAGTTTCTATTTACTTACTTATTTTAGAACATACAATTAATGTTTCACATTTTATTTTTTTTGCACATTTTTTCTTTTTGACTATTTTAGTTGAAGAATTGTTGTTTCAGTAACAAACTTTTTTAGCGTATAAAAGTTTGTTATACATAATTCTGCAAAAAATAAGCTGTTTTTTGAAACTAGATCACGACTTAACTTTTCAAACTTTTTCCCATTAAGCAAATTCTTACTTTCCCGTGTAGTTGACAGCCCAAACTATCGACACTAATCTGTTGTATTCGGCTGATACAACAGTAATAGATTCACTGTACCTAAGATGGTACAAAACAGAGGATCTCAAATTGGTAATATATGGCTTAAGATGTTCATTGACTTAGTTCCGCAAAACATTTTGTTATGAAACCTAATAAATTTGTTTTAAAAACTCAACTTTTTGCCCAATGTTTTGCCAAATTACCAAGCCGAAATTTTAAACTTCAATTTTTTAGTTTCAAATATTGCAGAACCAGCTAATTCTGACTTGATTATTTTCGTTTTTTATACAGACTAAAAGATACTGACTTAAAAGTATCTCAAATGTTAAATTTCAAGTCAAGTTTTTTTCCCTTAAAAGTTAAAAATGCTTGCTTTGCAAATTGAACGGGTTTGATCGTGATTTTCCAAATTTTGCTTGAAAGTTCAAGCCGGTAATACAAAACTTTTTGACCGAGCTATAAATCTGTGGTAACCATGATTCAAACTGTTTTGAATCACAAATTTTCACGTAGTGTTTCCGGTCTGATAAACACTTGCAATTCGTTTCTGTGCTTGATTCGAAAACCCATATGAGCCTAGTCTGCTGAGAGACTCCTGAAGTGTAAGCAATTGAAAGCTTTAGCAAGTTCAAGAGTTACAACTCAGGTATAGTTGTTAGCTCGCACACTCATTATTTATTCTTTTTTACGGTTATAACAGAAGCAACCGATGATTTGTTTTTTTTTGTAAGAAAAAGTGTACATTAACAATGTTTTTCCAGATAAGCAACGGCGTGTTTGAGAACAGTTTGCTCATATTATTTTAATAAGAAATTTTTGACCTAAACTGGCCTGCAGTTGATAGTTTTTTTTATTCTTTTTCTTTATTGTGGATTTTTGAACTTCGTTCACCAAAAATTGGGTAACGGAATTTTTTAAAGCAACGATGAGGTTTGTTGGTTCCACTATAAAAAGTGGCAAGTGCGAGGAGGTAGAGTGGAGGAGAAGGTATTTTTTCTTCTGGAAAAAGATATTAAATGAGACCTGCTCGAATATTGAAGCCGCTTTGCTACTAAAAAATAAGCGTTATTGATCAAGTTCTTATCAACGGCTCAAAAATTTTTCAAAGCTGAAACGAAGCTGATTTTTTGAGAGATAGAGCGACAGAAAAAGAAAAACACATTTTTTTGCATTTTTTTTTGCAGTTCAAAATTTAATTTTGATTGGAAAAAGTGTAAAATAATAAAAAACATTATCAAAATTAAGAACAAAAAACGTTCCAACAACTTTTATGATCAATGCTCGGGGCAGTTCGGTATCAAAACAAACGCTGACAGAACCTATTCTCTGATATGATTTTTGTGAAGTTTGTTTTTCAGCGTACACGTCTTCTTCATGGGAACAATGCTATGATTTACTAGGTTGAAGTTCTTTTTGATGTAAAGTAGGAATACGCTACGGAGAAAATTAGTTCTAGACAATCCAGGCAGGAGAAACCAGCCGATACACTGATTCTAAGAGAAGCTAGAAATTGAGAACCGCAAAAATCCAAAAGCACTAGCTCTGTTTTGGCCTAATATATGAAGATATTGAGTTGCTCTGTGCTTGATGATATCTCTAACAGTCGCAAATCTGGTTTATCATTCACATGTGACACAAAAAGTAAATTGATTTCATTCATGACAATCCGAATTCCCGTTTTTTTTTTTGCTTTTCTAGTTTACTTAGTTTTTGCACTATAAAAATCATTTAAAAGCATACCTTGATAATCTGAATAGATTGATACAAATGCTTCGAATAAAAGATCTCTGGTTTGTAGAGGAGTTTCATTTCACATGCATTAAAGGGTATAATTTCCACTCCTTTCTTACCTATTCATTTTATTGATAAAATGTGATTTTTAAGGCTTTGTGGAAACCCAACATTCGAGTTACTTAAAAATAATTTAAAAATAATATATAATAAATTATAATAAATTAAAAATAATATATGATTGATTACGTGCACACTGTCTTCCAGGGTCAAAATTTATTGTCATTCAGGGCTCAGTCCAGATCATGCATTATAAGAGAAATACACATGACAACCCATTTCACTTAATGTGTGGGCGGTGAAAAAATGCACATGGCGGGAAACAATTTTGACAATTTTTGCCCTATTTTTAATTTGTACAGCCTCGTTTCATCTTGTATTTTGCAGTGAAGACAAAGCAATCTTCTTAATAAATTTTGTTTCTTTAATGTAGCACTACTTTTATGTTAAAGTTCTTAGGCTGAGCGGTTGTTGAAACCGAAATTCTTTTTTAGATCGGATTGGATTCCAAAATGAAAAAAAAAAACTGTACCACATGTTTTCATCAAAAAACTCATCAGTGCTTAATCGTTGAAACGCTCTTGGAAAAGCTCCTAATTTTCAAAAACAAGTTATCTTACTAAAAAATCAAATGCTTATAGCAAAGTTGGTCTTTTGAAGTATCATTTTCTGTGATTCAGCTACTTCGCCGTGGAACATGAAAGCATCAATGAATTGAGAGATTTCAGCTTAAACAATTTCTAAAAAAGTTTATTGTCTAAAAGCACTGAAATCAGCTGAAAATCTTTCTTTTTATTCCAAGTTTGCTTTTTTAACTTTTTCACCACTCTACTTAAGATTTTAATTTATCAAGGTCAATTTGTACGCAAAATTCTTGTGTGTTGATGAATGTTGACCTTAGCATTGAAAAATTGTTAAGTGTATTGAAATTTTTATAGCTCATTAGTTTCATGAGAACGTCACTGACGAAGATAATGTTATCTGCTGGTTAGAAAAATTGTCGCACCTCTGAGCCAAAGTCATAACAACGTGAAAATAAAAAAGTATACGCATTTACGATAAGCATTTCATCAGTCACATGTCTTTATCAAAACCTAAATCATGCGAAATCTCAGACAAAACTCATTCTAACAGCAGGAAAAAAAAAAAGTTATATAAGTGAGTGTTTTGAGATTTATTTTGTGAAAAAGTCTCACGGAAAACCGCAAGATAAAAAAAAGTAACTGTAAGTTTTGAAGGAAATGTTTGAGAAAAATTGGCTAATTGGAATTTAAAGGCATTTTCTGATTCACTTTTTATTCTAAAAAACGAATGTGAATAGTTTTCGCCTTTCAACGATTTTTAGGGGCGACAAAGTTTTTCAAAAAAATCATTAAAACCAAATTATTTTCTGAAAACCTAAATTGTTGCGTCATGTTCACAATAAGTACAATTAACCAACAGAAAATTTTTGAAAAATGCTCTCCAGAAAAAATAATAGCTTAAAATAAGACTAATGACAGAAAATATCCCTAGAATATTCATATCAACTTTATCATTGTTCACTGTACATTAGATCAAATGTAGCAATTTTGTTTTTCTTTCAGTATTATTGGTTCAAAAATTCAAAAAAAAAAACGTTTTTGGTTTTATTTCTGAAGTATGCAGATAAGCAGTTAGTCGCCTGCAAAAATTACTGAAATATAGTTCATCTGTTCTTTACCAATGTGCAAAAACTGAAAATACGCTCCTGCTCACTTATCAGTGATTAGGAAAAACTTTTATGATTTTTTAAAGAACATGCAAAACAAAGCTTTCAAAACAAATTTTTTTGAGTGATTTTCAAGAGTTAATCATTGTCTGAAGGTTACAATGTTCAACCACTGTGTTTTCTTTCGAATGTCTTTCCATTGAAAAAAAAACAGTTTGATTCAAGTAAATTGACACAAAAAAGTATCCTTGTTTCCTAAATTTTTGTTCTGATTTTCGTAACGAAAGTTACGGAATATTTGTGCTCGGGTGGTTTTTTCTTCAGACAAAACTAGCAATTTTGACGGGATATTTTTTATATCATTCAACAAGTAATGTTGTCTTGAGCTTAAATTTGGAAAGATAGTTCACCTAAGGTTGTTTTTCGTAAAGTTATGGGGGTTTAAATAGAGCCATTTTGGTCATTTCGGGA